CTATTTAATTTTAGCAAAAAAAAAAAAGAAAAAAAAAAGATAAAGACTCTGCAAAGACTACCACTCATAAAAACTCTTAAGTATTTGTAGGTCAATCAATGTTCAATACTCTTTTTACTGGGTAATATCTATTTTTTATGCCATTCACATATTGCTCATTTCCTTATAACCCACTGTTTTATAATTTTTGTTACTGGAAGTATTTAATAGGTGACAGAGGAAAAGTATAATACAAAACTTGGAGGAACTCTGGAGAGAGATGTATTTTCTCTGTGGTAAAAGAGTTTAACTGGAAATGATCTCAATGCCACCCAAGAAAGGCATAAATATTGGTGAAAGCAGGAATACATATAGTAAACATCTTTCTTGCTGTCTTTGGTTTAGCCTTCTTGGCCAAAATCTTCTGTAAACTTCTTTAATTTCAACAAGTCGTGTTCATTGACTGTGGGTTTTGTGTTAGACAGTGACCGCAACATATCCGACTGTTAGGGAAAAGGAGAGAGGGGGTATTAAAAATGGATTTCATAAAATAAAAATCATTGCACTGTTACCAATTCTGTTACTAACTTTAACCTAAATAAGTATGAATATTTGCAGTGTGCCATACACTGATGATAATAAATTCCCTTTTCTAAAGCACTTAATCATGTCATTCCTTTGTGTAGAAACTTCCAGTTCCTTCCCCACTCTTGATCAAAACTTACAGAGCTGCTCATTCATTACCTAGTGGAAGTATAATCCCATTAGCCTGAAGATCAAGGCCATCTCCAGTATGGTTCTGATCTAACTTCTGGCCTTACCTGTGTTCCTTAAACAAGAGATCAGTTATCCTAGTAAGCACAATTCTAAAGGAGTATAGTAATTTTACTACAAAAAATTAGTAATTTTACTACAAAGCCTTTTGGAAATCTGCAACTGAAGCTAAACATTTTGAAAACCAAGCACCCATAAATAAGAAAATGTAAATGTAACAATTTTTCAAGCACCCTAAGTTCTCTAAAAATATCATAGCTTCATACTGAGCTGTATCTACTAGCCTTTAAAAAAAATTTTAATATTCTGAGAGAAGGTCTCGCTAAGTTACCCAGGCTGAGTTCAAACTTACAATCCTCCTGCCTCAGCCTCCCAGAGCACTGGCATTTCGGGCGTGTGCCACCACAACAGACTACAAAAAAGGATTTCTGGCAAGGACCTGAGTTCGATCCCCGGTACCAAAAACAAAAAACAAAAAATGATTTCTGAGTAACTTCTCAGGTAGGGATCATGGTTAACACATGAAGATATATGTATCTGGATGTCTAAATATACCTGTTCACGTCTATATATCCACATAGACATACATAAGTTTCTTCTCTGAAAGCTCTGTTAAATCTACCATAAAAGTTTTGAAAATCTGTAGCTGAAGAAAATTTTGAAAACTCAAAACAAACATAATAAACAATTTTTCATTCTCCCTTTCTCTAAAAAACCTCCCAAATAAAATCTTACAAATTATTTTAATTCCTTCATTATAAACTACAGAAATGTGTTTTCTAGTAAAAATTGTTTCAACTCAGTTAAATATTTTTGAGAAAGTTAAAAATTTTCAACTAAAAATTTTAAAGACCTGTATTATTTAATTTTTTTTTTTTTTGGTGCAGTACTGGATATCAAACTCAGGACCTTGCGCTTGAGAGGCAGGCGGCGGAACCACTGAGCTAAATCCCCAGCCCTTATTTAAAATTTTTATGAAGCCTTAAGTTAAACGGAAAAATACCATTTATGAATGATACCAAGATTAGCATTTATGGTTATTTTTAAAAATGCAAAATTTAGCAGAAAAATTTTACCAATCCTGCATTTTAGTTAAGTCCTGACTTATAAATATATGAGTATTTTGGGGGATAATATTCCAGCTATAAGACCTATAAAGTCAGCAAAATATAGTGGTACACACCTGTAATTCTCACACTCTGGGAGGCTGAAGCAGAATGATCAAAAGTTTGAACCTAGTCTGGACAACTTAGCAAGACCCTGTCTTATAATAAAAAAATTTTAAAAAGGTCTGGATATATCTGTGTGAAGGCCCTGGATTGCATCCCTAGTATCCTAAAATAAATGAAATAAAAATAAATAGCCTTAAAGTCTCTCGCAGCCCGAGAAAATATTTTCAAGATAATTACTTTTATATTTTAAGTTCAATTAATCTTTATAATTTAATGTATGTGGAAAATATTCAATAAGCATTATTGATCATACTTACATTTTCCAGCAAATCATAACACAGTGATGGTAAACCTTTTAGAGCTTTCAATGATAACAAACAGCTGGCTGTGGTACATGTGCCACCACTGTTTTAATATAACTAAAAAATTTTATCTTTGCCTGACTAACTACAAAGTGTAATACTTTAAAGTATTTCTTAAAAAAAATTTCAAACCATGGAAACAACTGGCTCCAAAAGTTTATCTCCAGGGACATCCATCCATGTCATTTCAATGGCACCAGGGTCCCCCGGAGAGCAGGGTGTCAGCAGATCATCTACGATGTTGTTGGGGTCAGCTCGAGAAGGTCCACAAACCTGCAGTAAGCAGTCACTTAAAATTTTAGTTGAGCAAATTGAATAAACATTAAAATTTAGGTCATTATCAGGGAATCTGAAAGTGTATGATTTATGTTGTGTTAAAATGTTTACTTCTAAACAGTATACAACAAAAAGTAGTTGTTTCTGGATTAAGGGAGAGATCTAGTTGATTTTATTTTCTTTCTCTATTCTGAAATTTTCTACAATGATTTATATGATCCTGGAGGGAAATGAGTTTTTTAAAAAAAGAAGAATAAACAGTTATACCTAACTATACTTTTCCTTTTTACCCTCTAATGCGTGGACACAATCTTAAGAGATCAAAAACAGACATTTAAACTTTAATCTCAGAATGAGTGCAAGTATGAAACATTCTAGGTTTACTTATTATGTATTACGTGTATTTTTTGTTTCTCTTTTCTAAAATTTCAGTGTCACAAAGTCGGGGATTTGAGTCTTTTTTGACTTTGTTATACGTTCTGATCTACCGCTGGGTATAGAGTAGTACTTTAGACGTTTGATAAATTAATAGGCAAATATATTCTTGCTAATTAAAATAACTAGCCTTTAAAACAGAAAAAAGATGGAGCCATAGAGATGTCTGCTATCATTGTTGATTGAGACCCTGTTAAATATTTCTCTCAGTTAAAAAAAAAAAGACTGAAGGAGATACACTAGGTAAATTATGGTGCTCTGTTTCAAACTCAGTTTTTAGTTCAAGCTCCTAACTTTTTCAAAAAGTTTACTTCATTATGGTATATACATATATTATGACAGATATCTTAGTCATGATATACTGGTCTTGTCATATATTGTGGGATTACGTTTCTAATAGTTTACTCAGGATTTTCACATGTATTACTTTGAGTAATAGTAGACACTGCTATCATCAAGCAGGAAGGGTTGGCCCAATGTTCCATAGGTATCCTGAGACCATAGTATTTCACAATACTGTATCTTAGCCATATACTGTACCACTGTATGCTCAACTCATTCACGTAGGCTAAACACTGTACAGAAAAGGCAGGATAGCAGAATGGTTGCACGTTCAGATTTTTATATACACCTTATCTAAGAAAAAAATCACACTTCTGCCCCATTCTAGACAAAATACTTTGGCAAACTGTGTTGGCATCAAGTCCCAGATTAACTACCAACAGGTGACTAGCCACATGTAACTCTTTGCTTCTGTTAGGACTAAATTAAATAGTAAGATGTAGGACAGAGCATAATCTAAAAGATACTATCTCATATTATTTTTACTTTGTTCATGATTCTGCTCATGGTTGTTCTGGCAGGGGGGGACAATCGATAAGAGAGATTAAAGTCACTTACCCTTTTGAAATGAGTAGCTGATTGTACTTTTCTAACAGGCTGCATAAGCGCATCACGAACAATAATACTTATATCTGCCCCTGAATAACCATCAGTTTTCTTCCCAAGTTCTCGGAAGTCTGCTTCTGTTAGACTGTTCTGAGTGGTTCCCAAGTGCAATTTAAACATTGCTGCTCGGGCATGGGCTTCTGGCAAAGGAATGTAGATTCGTTTCTCAAATCTTCAAGGGAAAAAAAATTGTATCAAAGATATTAAGATACATATTTAATTTTAATTGAAAATGAGGATATTTTCAAGAAGAAAATAGACTAATATTAATAAAATAGAACAGTAGTAGATATAGATCTTTAATAGATGTTTAGATATTTTCAATGACATCAAAGTTAAGTTTAGCAATGTATGGAGTTAAACGTGTATATAGGTTAAATAAAGAGAATATCCAGGATACATTAAAAATGAAAATAAAAACAAAATAGCCAGGAAGCCAGTTTGGGGTGTTTTAGTGCTTTTTAAAAAACTTTCGGATTATTTTAGTCATAGTGTTTGGATGTCTACAATTCACAACATAAAAAGAAATGACATATCGTGTAGGATTACAGTTTCCCATAAATTGTACTCTGAACTTTTTTTATGGTACCAGGGATCGAACTCAGGACCTTGCGCTTTTGTGGCAGGCTGCAGTGCCACTGAGCTAAATCCCTGGTCCCCTGTACTCTGAACTCTTAATCAAGAGATTAATAATATACAGATAACAATTATAATAGTGAAGTTATTCAAAATCTTAAAAACATATTACACATGATAGCTTGTTATAAATCAATTCATTCAGAATAATCCTACACTATAAATAATAAACACTATGTTTTATTAATAACTGTGTTTCCTTCTTCAAATTTCAGTATCTGGAGATAGGAAGCAATGAGGGACCATTTGAGTGGTCTCTGAAGATATTTCTTTAAGTAATTCTCTGTGGCAATGATACTTTTAAAAAGTTTCTATTACCTCTAGAGGTTAAGTTTGGAATTAGGCTATTTTTCAAAGACATCTAACACATTTCCTTTCTTAATACCAGATGGTAGTCTAGTGTGTTGGCAAATCAATGGATAAGAGTAGCAAAAACTGAAGTTTTTTTTAATGCAAAATTGAATGAATAGAATAGGGAACTGTGAACCAGTGAAAAGTAAACAGTCTAAGGGGTTGGGGAAAAGAAAAAATATGAGAAAAGGAAAAAAATGGAAACAAAGTCTTTGTAAATAGGGAGGGGTGGAGGAGCTGAAGCGAGGGTAGGGGAATGGGGAAAAAATAAGAACCAAGATACAGTATGTAAAGGTACAAGTTCCCAGTAATAAATATAAATGTACTGTACACCTAAAATGCACCAATAAAAGAATTTAAGAGTCTATATACCTATCATATAGCTGAACATTTATATTCAAACTTAAAAACTAAACGTAAAATGTTTTACTCAAAATTTGTCTTACTTTGACTTATATAATCATCTACAAAACTTTATGTGAGTGGTCTTCAAAGAAATATAAGATTATATCTATAAATTCTAGAGGCATCAATACCTGCTATGCTTAATCAAAATTAAAGGTAAACAGAAGGCAATATATTTTTCAATGTGAAAGATTCCAGTATATAGAAATCTTGTATCTTCAATATACCAGGCAAACAAATAAGCAAATGGCCATCTCTCTTCCCTCAAGGCAGGGGGCAACAGGGTTAGGGCATATTAAAAAGTTTATGAAAATTTATCAGAATGCCTTCTCACTAGACAGAAGGGGTTACCACTACTTGCTACAGAGGTAGTTAGAATTAAGGTATTTACGGTATCATCATACCTCCGCCTAATGGCAGAATCCAGAACCCAGGGTATGTTTGTAGCTCCCAGAACCAAAATTCCATCATTGTCCACACCAACCCCTGTGTGAAAATAGGTAATATTTAAAATAATGTCTTTTGGTATTTTTAAAATCTTGTCTGTATGTTCTTTTTAAAAATGTAGTGTAGTACTTAACATTAAAGTGCCTCATTTTCAGTCTAAAAAACTGTATTTTATCAAATATCATGTTACTGTAATGTGATGCAAATACTCCCAAGAATCAAACTGCTTAGGTTACACAAAAATTATTAATATTCTTTTCAAAATATTTCTTCTACTGATATGGTTTCTGCTATGTCACATGTGAAGATATATATGTGTGTGTGCATGTGTGTGTGTGTATTTATTTTGTTGTTTTTGTTTTGTGGTGCTAGGGATTGAACCCAGGGTCTTCGTGCTGAGCTATATCCCCAGCCTTTTTTTTGGTACCAGGGACTGAACTCAGGACTTTGCACTTGCAAGGCAGGTGTGCCGCCACGAGCCCTGGCTTTTTTTTATTCTGTTTTGAGATAAGATTTGGCTAAGTGGTTAAGTTGCCCAGAGTGGGTGCAAACTTGTGATCCTCTTGCTTCAGCCTCCTATAGTGCTGGGATTACAGATGTGTATCAACCACCTGGCTACAAGTGGATCCATTAATCTCTTTACTATTTATATCAGGAAGTCCTGTAAGATAATGACAGCTAGATTCTGCATGCAAATGAAAACAATCAAGATGAAATGTGGCATAATGAATCAGTAAATTTGTTAGGAGAAAATCTGCTTAAATGTTTTCCACTATTGTCATTTGGTTATATAACAAAGACCATTTTAAAAAATGAGTAACACCACCTTGCATTTGCACAAGAAACTCTGTCTTAATTCTACGTGCAGCTTCACTTTCATTTTCACTTCTTGAACCACAGAGAGAATCAATTTCATCAATGAAGATAATGGAAGGCTTGTTCTCCCTGGCAAGCTGAAATAAATTCTTAACCAGTCTAAAAAAAAATAAACACTTTCAGTCTCTAAAAAAAAAATAGTAAAAGACTAAAACAAAGCAATATACCAATACAAGGACTATATAGATCAAAAGCCTAATGGTATTTCAGGTACAGAGAATAAGAATGCTATAATCAGATAACTCACTTTACAATTATTAAGTTTTATAAGTATGTAAATATGGAATTCACAATATGAAAAGACATGTCCTGTAGAATTAGTTACATATATTTTTATATAAAATAAATATCAAATTAGCAACTGATCCAACAGAGAAATGAATACATATATGTTATTTTTCAAAACATCTACTAATGATATAAAAAAATCTATTACTTTCAGACTGATACGGTGACTACCATGCAAAGAAACAAACAAAAAAGATTTACTACTTACTTTTCACTTTCACCTAGCCACTTAGAAACAAGGTCAGAGGAAGATATTGAAAAAAATGTTGAGTTGTTTGCTTCTGTTGCTACAGCTTTGGCTAAATAGGATTTTCCTGTTCCAGGTGGCCCAAATAATAGGATTCCTCTCCAAGGTGTCCTCTTGCCTAAAATTTGCATTAGAAAAATAACACGAGAATTCTAAGACTGTTCATTTCAATTACTGTAGACATCATCTATACTGGAGAATACTCTGAAAAGGTTTTCACTCTAAAGTTCTCAGCAAGAATAAAAAGGTATTTTAAAAATAAGCCAGCTGGGCTGGGTGATGCAAGCTTATAATTCTGGCACTCTGGGAGGCTGAGGGAGGAAGATTGAAAGTTTGAGCCCAGCCAAGGCAATTTAGTGACTTGGCAAGATCCTGACTGAAAAATTAAAATAATAAACAGGGGCTGGAGATATAGCTTAGTGCAAAGAACTGGAGTTCAATCTCCACTACCATAAATAAAAACAGAGAAAATCAACACACTACACTTAAGATAAGTATGTCTTAAATGTATTTTATTTGCTAGTTCTAAAGATATTTTGTCAAAAGTGTATTTACATAAATACAAGCCTAACAGGAAGTTCTTTTTCCTCCCCTGGTAACAGGGATCAGAGTCAAGACCTTGCACTTGTGAGGCACTTGCCACTGAGACAAGTCCCCTGCCCCACAGGAAGTTCTTTTGCTTGCTCACTCATTTGTTCAACCAGTATGTATCAAAACCATATGTGCAGAACAGAAAGAAAAGGATCTTTGCCTTCCATAGGCTTACAGTTTAATCAGGGAAAAAGAGTTCAGTTAAAGGTGTACTTTCTAATGATCTGTTGTATGCATGGCTCAACAACACTCTATCCACAAAAGAAGCGCATATTCTTTTGACTACTTATGACCTGTGGAGAAATGGATCTAACAGTATGGATGACTTGTGAAGTTCTGCTGAAATTTTAATTTCACAGGGAAGCAACAAGTTAGTATTACAGTTAGCAGTCCCAATGGGTAGCTGGGCAATGATTTGGGAACTCTCTTAAATCCCAGTTTTTCTAAACTATAACAAGGGAACAAATGAATGCTTTGTGCCCCAATTTTGCTAATGAGAAATTATAATGGTATTTCAAATGGACCAGAATGTGTTATAGCTGGCAAATATGTATTTAAAAGTGTCCAGGAACAAACTGTGGATGAGTATAGTGTTTGCAACAGAATGATACACAGATGACTAATGGCAAAACTAAATATTGTTATTTTTACTGTTACAAAAGCCTCAACTTTTACTTGAATTCTATTTTTCTATTTTATATGTGTGCAATTATAGTTCTGTGTCCCCCTCCTCATGGCACATATGCCATTGGTATCACATGAATACTTCTAGGTGGTATACAAATTCTTTTTATTTAAATCATTATCTATTTACACGTATGTTAGAAAAACATCTACAGTAGACAGAAAGCAGTCTTTAAAATAACATTACTCAGTAAAAGTGAATGATTTGAAGTTCCAATAAAAGAAAAATAATCTATTCTGTTACAAGTCAAGAAAGAGATGACCTCTGAGGAGGAAAGACAAAAGGAGGATTGCTTGACTACTGGTAATACAACCCTTCTTTATCTGGGGGATAGTTAACTGATGAGGAAGCTGAACACTTACAGTTCCTGCATACTGAAATATTTATGACTTACTTCAATAAAATTTTTTTTGTAAAAAGTGAGCAATTTAAAGAAAACTGTTTTAAAAACAAAGGTATATATGGAAATATTCATGGAGAAGACACATAAATGATTCATGTTTGAGAAACACTGGTAGTTATATAACACGAGTTCATTCATATATTTGTACCTTTATAGGGTATGATGTCAACTTTTAAACTGTTTTATATTTTTGAAGGTAAAAGTCACACCTTGAAGTTAGGTGGCATAACACATGGCCCACAGGTTCTTTGCTTTCTTCCTGATGGCTCTGTGTGACATCACTGTCTATATCTGTACAGTTTGAGCTCAATGTCATAGATCTGCTCTTTACATAAACTAGGTTTTTTCAAAAGGAAAAACCTATGCTTAACTGTTAAGACCATGGGAGTAGCCATCTCATGGACACAGGCCATCAGTCACAAAAGGACAATTTGAAGGAATGATTCAGCACAGACAAATCACTTACTGCTGGAACTAGAACTTGAGCTATCTCTAGATGGTGGGTCAGCAATATTCTCTTCACAGTGATACTCAGCTGTCCCTTTGTCCCTAGAGGATATGTACTTCATCTGAAGCCATTAAATAAGTCTTACTCTTTTTAAGAAATGGAAATATTCTTTAAAAAAAACTAATATATACCTATTGCAAAAAAATTCAGATGAAAGTCAAAAGAAAAAGTAAAAACCATTTTTAATCTTATTCCCTGACACACAGTTTAAGTCAGCCCATCTACACTTACTTCTCAGCACACACATTTATTTAACAAACATGAAAACACCCTTTGTTTCACAATCTGGTTTTTGACATTTATAAAAGATGTGTAAAAAAATGAAAATGAAGAATGAATTTCATTAATATGAATATACACTATATTTTAATAAGTATATGACACTCGCCCGACACAGCATGCCAATGATTTACCCTACGCCCTACTGGTTGATATTTATGTTGTTTTGTAATATATATATTACAAATTTAGATAAGTATAATAATAAAACATCTGTGTAAGGATATGTTTCTTCCTTCTAACTGGCAGAATTATCATGATAATTCATGATATGGTGACAAGATCTCACATTTTACCTCAGTCATTCATGTGTTTTAAAAGAATCATGAAATAAAATTACTTAGAAGTCATCTCACCTGTAAAAAGATGGGGAAATTTAATGGGCAAAATCACAGCCTCTTTAAGTGCTTCTTTGGCTCCTTCAAGACCAGCAACGTCGCTCCATTTCACATTTGGTCTCTCAATAACGATGGCACCTACAAAAAATTATGTCTTCTTTAAATTATGGAAGACTATTTTCTCAAACTTATAAAACATGAAATACTAATGTTAAAAGAAATGCCTTATAAAGTTGTCTGGAAAAGTTCTATGTACTAAATTGTTCTGAAATTGTACGATGAAGTAGTAGTGTTGGGAGTAATCAGCAGGAGGCAAGTTCCTACTTTCTCATTTGTGAGGTGAAAAATAATACCATCTGCCCACACTACAGTATAAGGATCAAATGACATAATTCTAGAGTGTTTGGAAAAGCACCAAACATTATATAAAGAGGTTATAATAGTTGAATGTAACACTGATCTAGAGAATCAAGCATATTTGTTTAATGGGGGTTGATTTACTATTCTTCTGTGAACCAAAAGGTGATCTAATGCTTTCCTCGACCACAGAGAGAACATATGCCTAACAGCTTTAACTGAAGATAAATGGAAGAGAAGAAAAGAAGAAAAAAAGGAAGAGATAGAAATGGAAGAAGTAAATGACACATAAGACAATGTATATCCTTGTAGATCTGCAACACTTTCCTGAGATTTTCACTTGGCTTCCCAACACTAAATATACATTTACAATTTTTGCAAATTAATAGTCACTTAAAGCTTTTCCAATTTTCTAGTGTACAGAAATTTCTCAACTCTGAACAGTTAAGTAGGCTGTTCTAACATGGTATGTAGTTGTTTTAATAATAAAACACCACACAATTTACTAGTTATGAAATTAGTTTTATAAGTCATTTTTTTCTGATTAGGAAATACCACCTATCATTCTAATTATATTCAGCAGCTTACTTCCTAAATTATGAAAATCTTAAGTTATTAGACTAAAATTAAATGAAACCATAAACATTTCTTCATCCTAAAATGTGGTACACATCTGTAATCCCAGCTACTCAAGAGGTTGAAGCAGGAGGATCACAAATTAGAGGCCAGCCTGGATAACTTAGTGAGACCTTATATCAAAAGAAAATTTTTTTTGAAAAGGCCTGGGATGTAGCTCAGGGCAAAGGTTCCGGGTTCAATCCCCAGTACTGCAGAGCAAAACAAAACAATGAACAAAGATTAGCAATCCCACAGAAAGAAACATCTACATCATATGATGGAATTTTATTTTACATATGTGCATCATCTGGCTAACTCAAGATTTTTATGGAATTTTAAAAGTGTGCAAAAGTTATTTTCATGTTTAACTAATACCTTTCTCCTTAAAGTTTAAAGGTGACTTTGGAATGTTTACTAATGAAAGGTTAAATACTTGATACTACTTAATGGTCTGTAAAACTAAAAAGGTGAGGGGAGATTATGGATCAATACAAACAAATAATTAAACATATTTCCAATTACATACATCTACCTGGTCTTTGATTACACCATGTATGATATTAAAATATTAACCTCAAAAGTCACTGAATTATCTACATCAATGAAGAGAAAACCCAAATCATACACCCATTTTTTTTTTTTTTGTACCAGGATCGAGCTCAGGTCCTTGCGCTTGCGCAGCAGGTGGTGAAACCACTGAGCTAAATCCCCAGCCGTATACATCCATTTTTAATTCTAACAATCATGGTATAATTAACGTTATAAAACAAGCGTTAGAACAATTTAGGAAAAAAAGAAAGTCTCAAAGAAAGGGATATTACAGTATGAAATCCATTAGCAAATGATTAAAGATGGAAAAAACCTTGATGAAAGCCTAGCGTTCCTTTCATATTATACTTTATCCTAAAATCCAAACAAATTTCCTCATTTAAATGTGTTAAACATTAAAAAAAAAAATCTCTAGCCCTTGTGCCAGGGAATTTATAGAAATCGCTAATAAAAATCAGTTGGATCTTTTTCAAGATTGAAGATATAATCCAATTTCCACATAGAGAATGGGATGGGGAGAGGGGAACCTAAACCAAAACTGGTAAGACTAATAGCAAGCTTCTTGCCTTATTACTGGAATAAAGCCACTTGTCACAGACCTTTGGGTTACCTGGCAAATACTGAATATGCAGTGTGCGGAGCACTGCTTCCAGCAGTGGGGATACTGCAGTGGAAACTCAAAGTTTTTGCCCTGGGACTATAGCCTTCACGTTATCCTCACTACCTGTACTGTTTTCAAGGTACTATCCTTGTAGTGTTCTCCTATACATCCCAGCTGGGTAGGTAAAACAGAAATATTACCAAAATAAAGAGACTAGTGTAGCAAAATTAAAGGTCTAGTTAAACTAGGTGTATTCATTATTCAGTAACCAAGGTTACATAATGGAAATAATTTCTATTCAGCATTCTGTTTGGTTAAATTCAAAAAACTATTAGCTAATACATCAAAGAACAATCACATCTCAGCAATTAAAGAAGACAGCAATTAAACAGATACCTTTTCATACATGCAGAGCCACCATTTATCAAGTTCCTAGAATTTTTCAGATCTAATATTAGTAAGTTATTACACTATTATTGATCTTCCTTCCTGAAAGGAAAATATTATGAATTTTCATTTTAGAGGTGGGTACTCAGACTTTGAGAGGTTAGGAGAACTTGCCCATGACCAGAAAGCTTTTAAGGGACAGACCCTGGTGTGGAATCCAGATCTGAACCTACCCTCTCTTTGTTATGCCATTATATAGGCTTTTACAGAAAGGTAAAAACGAGAGCTGAAAGAGATAAAGAGACAGGTGTAAATGGGAAGGAACACTGAAAAGCAGATGAGAAAGAGCACGTAAAAAACATGAAATAAACCATCAATGGATCAGCCACACTAATGGTACTAAAAGTAATTTCTAATTCATTTTGCTCCTGACAGTAAATTTTAATACTGTTAGATTTTGTACTGTGCTAATAGTATAAATGCTACCTCCTTTATAAGGGACAAAAAAACTGAAAAGAATAAATTCACAACTTTTTAAAGGCAGAAATAACAACAAAAACCAAACTATTAAAAACCCTGAAGGGGCAAATCCTATGAAAATGTTCTAAACAAAGCCAGCATGTGACCACTGGCAACCACAGCCAGTTCTAGAATTTCATTTAAATACAGAAGGAAAGAAACAATTCAAATCAGACAATTCATCATGAGTCTTTTCAATAAGGTAGTAAATTTTAAAATGAAATCTAAAGCAACCTTGAAGTTGATTCTGTAGTTTCTTTTTTTCAGGATCATCAGATTCTCCTTCCCCATCACTGTCATTCCTAAAAAGAATTTAATATATTTAATAGCATTCAAATAATGCTATCAAATAATGCAAAAATGAAGGAAAGATAACCTGAAATATCTGTAATTTAAATGGCAAAATGAAACATTCACATTAAAAGTTATGGTTACTTTATTAAAACTTTAAATAAATAAGAAGCAGGCCTATCAATCAACAGGTAATCACGATCAAGAAAGGGACAAAAAGGTCAGGAAGAAGTGAAGAGCTACCTTCAAATTCCTATGATACACTGTGCATGTATGAGTTCATAGATGCATGCCCTATACATTGTTCCATGAATGATTTAAGATGAATTACAGGACAGGTACAAACAAAATAAAAACACCAGGATCCAAAATATAAAAGGGGATAAAAGCACAACAGGTTTTATGCTAAAATGGGATTGCCATGGTTAACAGGATGGTAGTGTTATGGATGATGTAGACTGACAATGAAAAAGATTCATTTGACATTTGCTCCAACCTTCTATCACACTTTCTTGCACTATAAGAGCTTTATTTATTTAAACAAACCACCACCACCAGCAAAAAAAAAAAAAACTTCCTAACTTTTGTAGGCCCCCTTCCAGGGATGGTTTCATAAGAGATCAGTTCCTCTAAGGGGTGGGGGAAGCGTGGGCACACTTGCATACATATCAGATCTTTAGGTGAAAGTACTGTTTTGGTGAGGGAGCTGAGACAGAAGGCTTATTGTGTGATCTCATGACTCATGGAGGGGAACTGCTCAGAGGGGAGTTGATAGCAGCAGGATCCCTACTTGACACGCCTCTATTTTGGTACATATGAATTCACAACTGCATGCTCACACACAACATACTGGGTCTTTCCCCTAGTGATATGGAATCTAAGTTTGATTCTCTGGCCTTCAAATTCTGTAAGGTGATATACTATAATAAATTCCTGTTTGCTCTAGCCAAAATGAATCCTGGTGATTGTAACTAAGATTGTTATTCAGAACATGAAAAAAACTAGAATCCCTTTGAAGGTAGCCATCATAGGAGAGATGATTACAGATTCATTAAGCAGGACTGGAAGAGCCCCAACAGACAGGGGAAGACAGGATGTTTCTGCTGGTGAGGGAGTCTCAGTGAGAGCTGGGGGCCCTGGGCACTTGAGGTCAGCTGAAGTCTTCCCATGTTTTCATCTCATGTTGGAAGTCCTGTCTTACAGTGAATGTCATTTCATACAAGAAACCCTGAAGTTGAAATTCAGTAATCTGTAAAACAGAACTATGATCTGAATTTTGTTATGTCAATGCTGTAGATATAATAAATATTCTTAGGGTGTCACAGAAACTCCCAGTTCTCTGATCACACCTTGAACAGATAAAACTTGGAGCTTATGATTTTCTTCAATCTCTACCAAGTGGCAACTAGTCAACTCTAATTCTTATATTTCTCATGCCCTTCAAAATGGTCTATGGTAGCCAAATCCCCTAAAGTACTGCCTAAAAGGTACTTCATGCCTCATGAGCACAAGGGATTATCTAAGGAACTTCAGCCATTGTGGAGCATGAACTGCAGGCATCACATTCTCTAAAGCTCATGAGCTTTCAAACCCAACCTGGACAGTATCACACTGCGGAGTCCTGTTTTCTTAAGAGGGTGTCACCTGGAACTTCTTGGGGTACCAGTTAATAGAAAGATCAAAGAGGATCTGATTAGAATATGTTTCCCCTGCTTAGCATAGAGCTGGGCATGCATATCACATACCAAATAAAAGAATTCTGCATCTGTATGTAACAGACCACCCACACAAGACTACATTCCAGAAATAGGTTTTAACTTTTAAAAATCATGGTGTGTTGCTTTACAATGATATCATAAAGCATATAGGATGCAAATCCACAGGAAATAACTTTGCACATCTAAAACATTATTTGGATTATTGGAGTTATTTTTTGTCTGTATAGTCTAAGACTTAATTTATGGATCATTCTTATAATTTAAACCTCAATATTTAATGATGGTCAGACGTTGAGTGCTACTCCTATGCATGTTTCCCCTATTACTAGCAAGCAGTCCTGGGGGTTTCTTTTGGGCATGTCATCCACTAAGCTTGGCAAACTAGGGGTGTACAAACTTTTGTCTGTGAAAGACCAGACAGTAAAATATTTCAGGCTTTGTGGCCATTAAGTCTCTCTTGCAACCACTCAACTTTGCTGTAACAGCATGCAATGAGCCTTGATGATATGTAAACAATAGGGTGAACCTGTGTCCCCATAAAACTCACTGACAAAAACAGGGAGTAGGTCTGCTTTGGCCCCTTTCTCATGGTTTGCCAGTACCTGGTTCAAACAAAATAAATTTATTTTGTAAATAAAAAGTTGAGAGAACAAAATATAACACTTGTAATACATACCCCTTCTCATCAGCTGGACTTGGCTGTCCCTCTTTCACTGGCTTCTGTGGGGTTTTCTCTCTTTTCTTCAGATACTCCTTTAGTTTTTCTGCTCTATCAAGATATTCTGTACACTTTGCCCTGATACTTTGCTTGGCTTTATCACCCTGTGCTTCATCTGTTGAAGTGAATGAGAGAGATTTTTCAATTAATATTTGATAAAGTTTAAACTTGGATGTATTCTTCTTCTTTTTTTTTTTTTTTGGTACCGGGGATCGAACTCAGGTCCTTGCACTTGCGCAGCAGGCGGCAAAACCACTGAACTAAATCCCCAGCCCTGGATGTATTCTTTTAAACACAGAAATTCTATGTTGGCGGAGAGAGAAAAGATAATCTCTAACTCACTATAATCAATGGTTATCAACTCTTCTTTATTCTTTCTTCACAGGATTGGAGACTGAGTTTGAGTCACAAAAGATTTCACAAGATAGCAGAATATTTTAATGTTAAATAAGAAGGAATTATTTAATATTCTCTATGTTTCATATTCTTCCCTTACACTTTGCAGATAGTGGAAAGCTTGTCTATATAAAACTAATCATGAGACAAACAACTTGATTATAGAACAGCAGTTACCAGAGATGGGGAAAGGACAGAAGTAGATAAAGGAAAGTTGTACAGTAGAATGTGTTGAAATATCACACTGAATTCCTTAATATGTACAACTAAAATGTGTTAATCAAAAATAAAATATAAAAAAGATAAACAGAAGTAAAGCAGTGTTAACCATTTCCATTAATATCTACATAAACTTTATTTCAAAGAGTATATAAAGTGATGGAAATCTCACAGATATGTACCACTAATATAATAATTTTACTAAATAAAGGTTAAAAAAAGTAGAGTTCAGCAATATATAAAACACATGGGACTAGCCTCATATATCTTAGGTTATGATACATTCTTAGTTTCACCTTAATTTTACATAAACCCTCAAGATTAAATGGGGAGGCTTAAAAGAAAAGCCTTGAATTATCTAACCACATTAAGTGTAAAATTCATGAAGACAGAGGTTTTCATTCATTGTTTTCACTGTTGAATCCCCAGTGCCCAAAAAAGTGTCTGGCATATGATGAATATGCAATATGTATTTGTAAAATACACACAAAAAATGCTTCCTGATGTATTTTAAGACAGAATTATTTTCAAACATGCTTTGGAAATGAGTTTATATTACATAATTTGGTAGTTGTTTCCAGTGACTATATGACATTTTAAGATGTCTAGGAATACAAACTAATCATGATAACTCACATTAGCTAAAGTTGAGTACTTCAAAGTAGAAAGGCTTTTTTTTAGCTAGCGGATGTTTTAGAATCTGGCTTTGTATTTCAATCAATTTTCAGAAATAAAAATAGAATTTTATTTTGTAGTGTTTTTAAATAAAAAAAATAAACTATGACCTTACATTTAACTACATGAAGAAAATATTGTACAGCATGTTGATAGAGTTGAAGGGCTTCCTCATAATTCCCAGCTTTGTCTTCTTGTGCTGCTTTGTTAGCAAGATCTATTGCTTTCTGTTTGAGAAAAGCAAAATATTTACATTAAAACCAAAGCATAAACATAAACTTGAAATAAATAATCAAATTGGAACATTTCTGGAGGGAGGCAGCACTTGGTATTGAACTCAGGGCCTCACATATGTCAGGTTAAGTGTTCTACCACTGAGCTACATCTAATGCCTAGTAAATTTTTTAAAAAATAAAAGCAACCTTAAACAACTGTAATTTGTTGTAAATTATCTTTAAAAAAAAAATGGAACGCTTCACGAATTTGCGTGTCATCCTTGCTAATCTTCTCTGTATCGTTCCGATTTTAGTATATGTGCTGCTGAAGTGAGCACTGTTGTAAATTATCTTATAAAATGCAAATTACATTTGTTATATGAATAAATGCTATCTGAATACAACTTTATGTAGTACCACTCACTAAAATTCTCACAATTTTCACACAACTAAAGTCAAATTAGAGCCAGTAAGGAATAACTGAGTAATCTGAAAATTCATATTCAAAACAGCTTTTAGGGAAATTCTCAAAAATCAAATGCATTAAATCTAAAGCATAGTAGAAATGTATGGGGTAAAGCCCCTTGAGAAGCACTGGGGCGGTACAATTACCAAGAATCTGAAAAATGCCCCAAATTTTTAATCTGTTAAAGTTCACTCACTGAGCAAAGACATTAACCAGAGGTCTTTTAAATGACAAAACAAATTTTATACAGCAAAAGGATGTCCCACCACAGAACATTAAAGGATTCTTAAATTAAGGACACACAGTGTTTACAATAAGACTCCTCCTCTCAACCCCTCACCACCTTTCAGTACCAGGGATTGAAGCCAGGGTCTTGAACATGCTAAGTAAGCACTCTATCACTGAGCTACATAATCAGCCAGCTGCAACATTTTAGATGTTAACAACTATTTGAAATAACAGCAACAAACAACACAGAAAAAGATGGGAAGGAAAATATAACAGAACTTATCTCTAATAAGTAAGTCTTCACTGATTTGTTACTTTCTCCTTTTTCAAATCTTTTAAAATATATCCATGTGATTTTCGAAAATGATGCAAGTAAGTCAGTATCAGAAGAATATGCTTTTTAAGGAAACGGTGGTGGAGCAACTGGACATCCATAAGCAAAAAAGAAATCTCAATTTAAACCTTATACTTTCTGTAAAACTTAACTCCAAGTGGCCACAGACTTACACAAAAAACAAAAAACTATAAAACTTGGAAAAATCTTCAGTATCTAGGGCTTGGCAAAGGGGCTTAAATTTGACATCAAGCATAATGTACAAAAGGAAAAAATAAAAAACTGGACCTTGTCAAGCTTTTGTTCTCTAGAAGATCCTTTATAAAAAGATGAAAAGATGAGTTACAGACTGGGAGAACTATTTCAAAACACATCCAACAAAAAAGTAGTATCAACAATACATAAAGAACTCTGAAAACCCAACAGCTAGAAAGAGTCCAAATAGAAAAGGGACAAAAGATGTGAATGAATATGTTATCAAAGAATTTATACTTAAGATTACTATCTCTAGGTGGATGTAAAGTAAATCAAATACACAAGCTTAACTATTGCATGCTTTCTCTTATATGAGAAATCCAAAGTATAAATAATTTAAAGAGCAAAATACTAAAATATAATCGAAAACGTGGAGATAGATCTTTTGCAAATGAGAAGGAGTACAAGATATGGGGGGGGAGAAGAGGGGAATGGCAAATAAAAAGAATTAAGATGTGTTATGTACATGGACCAACTATGATAAATGTAATCATTATGTTCAGCAAACATGCCCTAATAAGCAAGGATATACAGACGGCAAATAAGCACATGAAAAGATGCTTATCATAAGCCACCAGAGAAAAGCAAATTAAACCAGCAATGAGATATCACAACACTTATACAAGAATGGGTAAAATAAAATATAGTGTACAATGTCAACATTAAAAACTAATAGCTTTTTCTATACAACAATGAACTAGCTGAGAAAACAAGTTAGGAAAACAATTCTGCTCACAACAGTGTAAAAAAAAAACAACCTTGGAATCAACCTAATGAAAGAGGTGAAAGACCTGTCCACGGAAAATTACACAACACTAAGGAAAGAAGTTAAAATCAATAGAAGATGGAAAGACCTTCCATGTTCATGGATTGACAGAATTAATATTTTTATACTGGCTATATTAAAAAAATCTATAGATTCACTGCAATCCCCATCAAAATTCCAAAGACATTCTTTACAGAACTAAAAACTAAAATAAAGTAAAATAAAAAAAAATCTACAACATAAAAGACCCATAACAGCCAAATCATTGGCAAAAAAAAAAAAAAAAAAGATTAAGGCTGGAGACATCACAATACCTGATTTTAAGCTGCATACAAATGAAAAACCAGCATGGTCCTGGCACAAAAAGATACACAGTCCAATGGAACAGAACAGAGGATATAGAAACAGCCGCATGCAACCTTAGTTATCCCTTAGCCATCTGATTCTTGTCAAAGGAGCCAAATACATACAATGGAGAAAAGACGGGCTTTTTTTTTTCTGGTACCAGGGATCGAACTCAGGACCTTGCGCTTGTGAGGCAGGCGGCGGAACCACTGAGCTAAATCCCCGGCCCAAGATGGCCTTTTTAATAAATGGTGTTGGGAAAACTTACAGAAGATAGAAACTAGATCCCTATCTCATTCTGCACAAAATCAACTCTAAATGGATCAAAGACTTAGGTATGAGACCTGAAACTGCTAGAAGAAAACATATGGGAGACAGATGAATCTACAGCCACAGCCAAAGACTTCCTGAACTAATAGCACAGGAAATAATATTAAGAATCAATAAATAGGAGTACCAAAGTTTCTACACAGCAAGGAAAACAACTAACAAAGTGAAGAGAAAGCCTATAGAATGAGAAAAACCTCTGCCATCTACTCTTCTGACAGAGGATTAATATTTAAAATATATGAAGAACTCAAAAAATACCCAAAAAATCAGAGCTAAATTAATAAATGGGCAAATAAATTAAACAAACACTTATTTTAAAAAAGTATGGATGGCCTGTAGATACACGAAAATACATTCAACATCTTTAGTCATTAGGGAAATGCAATTCAAACTATATTCAGATTTCATCTCATGTTCATCAGAATGCCTATCATCAACAAATTCTGGCAAGGATGAGGCTGTGGTGAAAAGAATGCTTCTAATCTGTGATGGGAATGTAAATTAGCATAACTAGTATGGAAATCAGTATGGCTGTTCCTAAAAAACTAAAAATTGAACTACCACATGACCCTGCTATACCACTCCTTGTTATACCCCAAAGAATTAAAAGACAGCATACCATACTATAGGGATAGCTGCATACCCAAGTTTATTTGGGCACAATTCACAATAGCCAACATATGGAACCAGCTTATGTACCCATCAACAGATAAATGGATAAAGAAATGTGGTATATGGGGAGGGGGGAGATTTTCTAGGATTTAATCCAGATGGGGATGAGGAACACTGAGGTAATAAAGGATACAAATCTTCAGTTTTACTAGAAGATGCCACAGACACTTTCAAATGTGTGTTCCATTTTGTATAAGAATTCCTACTTTTCCAT